TTTCAGGTAGTATCTCTACAGATGTAGAGTTAATCACATATGCTTGTAGCAAGTAACCAACCACCATTTTTGAACTTCAGACACAAATAGGAAAGTTACTGAATGTATTGTATAATAAAACTTAATGAAAGACCATGAGTATAAGAAATTTAGAAAATAATATTTTCTGTCTATGCTTTTTTTAGGACATTTGAAGAGGCCTTTTAGATAGAATTTTAGAAAACAGATTTTAATCTTGACATGGCAAATTTATATAAGTGGACTGAATAATGATATATACAATAAGGACATATATATTTAACTCAGATCACAAAGAAAACATCAAAACGTAGATGTAACTTGCTATCTCTGAGGAGACTGCATTGTAATTATATGGGCTAAATAATCAAGCAGCTGAGAAACTGTTCCATGTAGATTAAGAACTGTCAGAAGTTAGTTGGGATCTTGTTTCCCCTTGACTATAACTGAATTACATATTCCTAATATTAAATATGTATGAGATATAGATGATTATTCCTAATAAGAATATAACTGAATTACATATTCCTAATAACTTGTTAATATTGATTTGTAAATGAAATATCCACAATGAAATTCATTCACTTACCTGACTTTTATAGTTATCGGCATGTATAACTTGTTAACGAAAACATTTTATATTACATTTAAAAGATCATTTACGGAAAATAAATATGCATTGTCTTTATATGAAGGTAAACAGATTATTTGGCTTCAGTCCTGCTACATATGTGTAGTTGGATATGAATTAAGAATGAAAGAATCACAGTCTATGAGAGGGTCAGAAATACCGTCAAGCTGGTCTCTTCTCTTTGGTGAGGTATTTATATGATAATTATTTTTTTATTTATTGTTTCTGATTATAAATTAATATACATTTGTTTTAGAACATTTCTAACTGAAGAACAAAAAATGGAGAAAAAATCATCCAGTGATAACTGGGAATATATTTACACATATATTCTTTCAGTTTTTTTTTTCTATGCATGTTTAATATTGTTGAGATCATACCATATTGACTTTGTATTCAGTTCTCTTCCTCAAATTTCCTTGCTCCATTAAAAAAAATTCTTCAATGAAATAATGCATTTAAAGCACATAGTAAAATGCTTGACATATCATGAGCATGTAATACTTACTATTAGATATTACTTTAATCTTTTATCCAAGTCACTGTAAATTTTGTGTAAATATTTTAGTAATTATATGATATCCCACACTTTAACTGAACATTCTCTTTTCATTGGATATTTTGCTGTTTCCAGTGTGTCTCTATTATATATAATGGTTCAATAAAAATCATTATAAAAGTAATCTTAGCATCTCTGACAATTTCCTTAGGTTTGTTTTTACTTTGGCCAAGATTGAGAGTACAGCAGTCCCCCCTTAGACATATCTGAATTGCCAACTTTAAAATTCTTTAATATTCTTGTGCCTTGGGCCATTATTAAGTAAAATAAGTGTTACTTGAACACAAGTATTGCAATATCATGACAGTCTATTTGGTAATCAAGATAACTACTAAGTGATAAACAGAAGGGGAGCATATACAATGAGGACAAACAGGATGAAGAGATGATTCACATTTCAGATGCAATGGAGCAAAATGACATGAGATTTCATCATGGTATTCAAAAGCCTGTGTAATATAAAACTTATCAAATGTTTATTTCTGAAATTTTCCTTTTAATAATTTTTGACTGCTATAGACCTTTGGCACTTAAAACTATAGAAAATGAAACAGTAGATAAGGAGAGACTACTGTATATACTTTCTTAATATAAGCTTCTGGAAGAGAAGAATGTCAAACGTTATGAATCTTTATGATTCTTAATTCATATTAACAAACTGCTTTATAAAAAAGTTGTTCCAATTTACTTCTAGCAAAAGTGTGTATCCACTTTTATTACATTCTTACTAGGCTTGAATATTTTCATTAGAAAAAATCTTTGTTGAATAAACGAATATACCCTATTGGCAATTCTTTGATAGCTAATGAGATTGAAGTGTTTTCTTATCTTCTTTAGCCATTTATATTTTACATTATATCAATTTACATCCTTGCTCATTTATCTATTGAGTTTTAGTGCATACACACACATATGCACTTATATGTATATATAAGCTCTTTAATATTAAAGATTTTCATTATTTGATTTATTATAACATATTTTTTCTTCATCTTGATATTTTAACTTTATGTTTTCTAAGAAGCAAAAAATCTTAATTTCTGTATAGTCCAATCTATTCCGTTTTTTGTTGCCTCATATTTACTAATATACACATTTCATAATTTTATCTTTAGGTGAATTATTTTAGCTACCAAATAAATGTGAGTCCTTGTATTCTAAAAGTATTAACAGTAATGATTCCTTTCTAGTTACAGGGTCTTAAACTCAGATGCCCTCAAGGCCCAGGCAATTAACATTAAGGAATGAAGCAGAGGGAGTAAAGTGATAAGAGTGGGTGGGGCCTGTGATAAATTAGAGGGTGTAAGAGTGCATGTCCACCTAAGGGCATTAAAGGTCATTAAAATATATTGCAAAGCTAAGCAAAACACATCTGCAGATTGTGAGTTTGTATTCCTATGTTTAGTGCATTTGGGAAAATAACTTGCTTAAAATAGTCTGAATCATAAATACTGAAATGAGCATTCTAAGATTGGATTTTTTGTTAATTAATCATATTCTTCACCTTAATTCTCTCTTTCTGACTCCATATATCCAAATGGGTAATGGAGAAAACTTATACCACTATCACATCAAACTTCTGACTTCTTAATCAACGTAAATTATCTTTTGTGGAAAGTTGCTCTTCTGAGCTTTTGATCTTTAATCAAAATAGGTTGCATCTATCTGGAGTTCTCCTATAGTGTTACTTCATGGATATGCTTATACTCTTGAGCAAAACTAAAGCAGTTGTGTCTTCCATCTCACACATAGCTGCCAAGCTCTTACAGATTTCTCCATCCAATACTGCAAATTCTTTAACCCTCTCTTCTTAGCTAAGTCTCACATTCAGGACTCATGAAGTGGGCAATTTGTAGAACATAATATTCACATTATATTTAATTGGCTTTATTTTGTAATACTTTGTATTTTTTTCCAATTTGCCAAACTAGTTTTCTATATTTAAAGTTAATAGACAGTAAAATTGATTTTGTTGATTAAAAAAAAATGTGTTGTTGATTATAAAATATTTATGATAAAAGAATATTTTGTTCTTTTCTATATGTAATAAATTAACTGAGATTAAGAGCTAACACTATATTTATAAGTGTGTGCCAATAATCAATAATTTATGTTGTGATGGCTATGCTTTTTATAAATAATAAAACTGACAGGCAAATACTTTAATTATTGCTAAATATTTTTATTTTGGATGTGCCTAAGCATTCTTGTTGCTTTGAAGCAAAGCGGTTCTATGGTAAGTGTTCTTAATCTGTATTGTCAGGGCCTAAATGGGATTTGGCAGGGTTAAGAACTCCCTGAAATGTTATGAAAAACTGTGTATATTTGCATATATTTTATTCTCCTGTGGAAAGTGTCCATAGCTCTTAGATTCTCAAAAGGGTCTATGAGAAAAAAAAAAAAAAGGAACTACTCCTTTAAAGGAATAACAATTATTCACACAGCATCTGTAGATTAACCAAATGGCCACTTTATGATACATATCCATCAACATAGCTCCAGAAGGTGTGTAGGACCCGTTAGATCCATCTTATATCAGTGGTTTCATATCATATCAGTGGACATTAAACAGAATCTTCCATTTATTTATTTTGTTCAGCTCTAGCATGTATGTGTCTTCTAATAGATATAACAATAATCATAATCAGAACTATCTGGGTACATCCAAGGATATTGTGTATCCACTAGACCTCTTTTAAACAATGCTATAAATACTTGTTAAATGAATGAAACACTGGGTACATCACATTGCAACTGCTATGTGAATAAACATGGTTTTTAAATTAAATTAAGTACCATGTGTTATCACATTTTTGGGATTTCTTTGATTTAGATCATGCTTAAGTAGACTGCTACAGTATGACATAGCTGCAAAAGCAAAAGCTTTGTGTCCGTTATGGATTCATATTCCCTCTCTGTCAATTAGCAATTGTAAAATGGCGATAATAATGTTCACCTTATAGAACTTGTGATAGAATTTTAGAAATAAGATCTAGGAAATGCCTAGTGTAGTACCCGGAACATAGTAAATATTCGATAATTGGTAGTAATTACACACTGGATAGCAAGAATTTTGACTTTATGGTTAAATTGTCAAAAGCGACTAGTACATGTTATCTTCAAGTCACATTTTTAATGCAGCCTGGATTCCTCCAGATACTGATCAAAGGAAGTTAACTAACCTTCAGAGTTTTAGTTATAATTTCTATCTTAGGAGGACAGAGCTGAACATTCTAGTGATATTCCTAAATTTGTTGAAATATTCAAATTATATAAAACTCATGAGGTTTTGTATGGGTCTACATTTCAAAAGTGCAATTTATGTTCTATGAGCCAGTATTTATGTATTAATATATACACAGTACCTCTTACACTGAAATTGTGCTAGCTAGAAAATAACTGTTTGGCTATCGCCCATGGGAACATAACGCTTTAACAATAAGCTTTCTGCTTCTGTACTCCCCACTTGCACAATAGACCTGTGGGTTGACAGTTAGTAAAAAGAAGAAAAATAGACTTGTGTGTTCAAACAGGATGAAGAATGAGGTTTAGGTCTTAAAATCTCTGTACCTTTCCATTTCAGGGCTGCTTAATTTGAGGTCTGCATACCCCTGGCAGACCCAGCTGGCTGAATAAAGAGTGTGTTTCTTATAACTCACTGATTTCTGGTGGTCCCTGTGTATATCAGGGGCTGACGACTACAACATTTGGAGGCCCCAGTGAGATCTCAAGGAGTGGCCCTGAGATCTAAGATGGGACCAGTCTCTGAAGTGGTTGCTGTCTCTGTTACAGACTCAAAGGGGTGGCCACCCTGAGATGTTCCAGGGCCCTTGAATGCTGTGACAGGGTCAATGCAATCATCAAGGACACAACCTTTAGGATGCACTCTTTGTTCCTGATCCCGCCGGGAATCTCCGAGGCCTCGACATCTGGATAAAAAGGTACCTTTCTGTTTCTGTTGACTGGTCATTGGGGGGTCCGTGGAGAGACTGGACGCAGTCATATCTCCTGGACCGTAGCCAGGCCACAGGATGCCGCCTCCTGTGCCCTGTCATCAGATTCTGTCTATTATCTTTGGTCTTGTGTGGGTTGTAGGTGGCAGACCTCTCCAGGTCCACCTAAACCCCAGTAATTGTTCTCATCTGAGTGTCTTGTGTTTTCTGCGCAAGCGATGGGGGGAGGCCTGAGTTCACAGAAGACATCCTTAGGGTGTCTTTGCGACATTTCAAAGAAGGGTTTGTAGAGGGAGCTAATTATGGCATAAAGTTTTCTCCAGGCAGACTAAGAACATTGTGTGAAGTTGAGTGGCCGTCTTTTAGTGTAAACTGGCCTCTGGAGAGTTCCTTTGACAGGGGTTTAGTGAGGAATGTTTGGAAGGTTGTCACGGGAGACCCGAGACATCCCGATCAGGTTCACTACATCACCTTGTTCAGAACCTCCCTCCTTGGCTCCGCCAGTGTGCCCTTTCTCTAGGGGTGCGAGTCTTAGTTGTGGGCACCCCAAAACGTATGGCAACCGAATCTCCAAGACAGCCCAGTCCCTCAGTCCTCCAATTTCCACCAGAGGACAGTGACCTTCCCCCACCTTATAATCCAGGACAACAGAGGCCAAAGAGCATCGCCTCACCTTCTCGGACTTGGGCAGGTAACCCCTATGGACCCCCTGCTCCTGCTCTGGGCAGGGCACCAGCCGATACCACGACCCCGGCCATCCTCCCCTTGTGAGAAACACCATCCCAGGGACATCACACATACAGGCCCTTTATGGTTTACGTGCCTTTCTCGACTAGTGACCCGTACAACTGGAAGGCACAGAATCCGCCTTTCTCTGAGAAACCCCAAGCATTAATGGGACTCTTAGAAAGTGTCTTTCAGACTGACCGCCCCACCTGGGATGATCGCCAACAGCTTTTAGTTACACTCTTCACTGCGGAAGAACGCGGACGCATTCGGGCAGAAGCACAAAAGAAAGCTGCAAGAAGGAGGAGAGTTGAGGAAGCACGAGAACAGATTGAGGAGGAATTTCCCTCCACCCACCCAGACTGGGGACACAATTCTCAGGCAGGGAGAACGGCATTAGATCGGTACTACCAGATTCTAATTGGGGGAATTAGGATGGCTGCTCATCAGTAAACTAACCTTTCTAAGGTAACTGAAGTTATACAGAGAACTCAGGAATCTCCCGGAGCATTTCTTGAACTACTATAGGAGGCATACCGGGTATACACCCCCATTGATCCTGAGACCCCTGAGAACCAGTGGGCAATTAATGTAGCCTTTGCTCCTCAGGTAGCCCCTGATATCCGGTGTAAATTACAAAAATTAGAAAGTTTTGCAGGGATGAACCTGTCCCAACTTGTCAAGATAGCCCAGAAGGTGTTTAACAACAGGGAGGTACCGGATGACCCCAAACATATGGCTAAAATTCAAAGCTACTGTCATCAACCCAGCCAATCTGTTGCCAGACCCAGACCCCGAGACCCCTGTTCATAACTGCATAGATTTCACTGATGCTGTGTGTTCCTTGCAGCCAGACCTCAAAGACTCCCCTCTGCCTGAGGCCGATGAAGTTCTATTCACGGACGGGGGCAACTTCATGCAGGAAGTATGAAGGTATGCTGGGGCAGTAATTGTAACTCTAACTGGCACCATCTGGTCACAAGCTCTTCCCCATGGGACTTCTGCTCAAAAGATCGAAGTCATCACCCTCACTGAGGCACTAAGATGGGGAAAGGATAAGGCAGTCACAATATACACTGACAGCCAATACGCCTTTGCCACTGCACATGTACACGGATCCATCTACAAGGAAAGAGGGCTTCTGACTTCAGCTGGGAAGGACATCAAGAACAAGGAGGAGATCTTAGCCTTACTTGAAGCCATATAGATGCCTAAGGCTCTTGCTATTGTTCATTGAAAAGGGCATCAAAAAGGGAATAGTCCTGAGGCTGAGGGAAATCGATGAGCCGATGCAGAGGCAAGAACAGTGGCCACAAGGCCAGTGGGGTTTCCACCACATCTACTGACTGTTGTCCCTTACCCAGAACTGCTTCTGTCTCTGACCTATATGGCGGAAGAGAACATATATTTTCAAGATAAAGGAGCCACTAGGAACCAACAGGGGTGGTGGATGACCGCAGATGGAAAAATTGGGCTCTCACGGGCCCTTGGAAGGACTCTCCTCCACCAACTACACCAGATCATACACTTAGGACAAACTAAGATGCTCCAAGCTTTAGACCACTACTTTTACTTGTTAGAAGGGAGAAGAACTGCAGAGGAGATTGCCTCATGATGCCCGGCTTGTGCCCAAGTTAATTCAAAGGGGAAGATAGAAGAACCTAGGCATGGGGAAAGAGGAACTTATCCGGGGGACCACTGAGAATTTGATTTGACTGAGGTAACCCCGACTGTGGGGGACTACAAATATTTTCTTGGTTTTATAAACACCTTTTCAGGATGAGTAGAGGCCTTCCCCACCAGGAAAGAGACTGCCTTAGTAGTTACTAAGAAACTACTACGAGAAATCCTCCCTCGATTTGGTCTTCCTGGAACTTTAGTGTCATATGATGGGCCAGTCTTCATAGCAAAAGTATCACAATAATTGGCTAGCTACCTAAATTTGTGATGGAAACTTCACTATGCCTACCGGTCCCATAGTTTGGGCCAAGTAGAGCGAATAAATAGGACCCTAAAAGAGACGTTAGTCAAGTTAGAATTAGAAACTGGTGGGACCTGGGTAGAACTTCTCCCCTTTGCTCTTCTTCGAGCCAGGTGTACTCCATATATTAATGGATTCACCCCGTTTGAAATTTTCTTTGGAAAACCCCCACCTTTAGTACCTAGAATAGAAGATGAGAAAAAGGCAGAACTACGTAACTTTGTCTTACTTAAATCTTTACAGGCCCTTCAAAGTGTACAGAAGAAGATTTGGTCCTGCGTTTGTGCTGCCCGCTCAGCCCCAGGGGAGGGACTTCCCCATCAGTTTCAGCCTGGGGACTCTGTGTGAATCCAGAAATTCACTTCCAAGGGAATAAAACCCAAATGGAAAGAACCCTTCACTGTCTACCTGATGACACCCACTGCAGTTAAAGTAGACAGCATCCCATCGTGGATTCATCACTCCCACGTGAAAGCAGCACAAGAGTGGACAGCTCAGGAAGATGGGCCCTTAAGACTAAGACTCAAGCATACATAAATCTAACCCTCTGTTTCTTCCTTTCTCCCTCTTTAGCCCAGGCATACAGAAACATACACTGACCTAGAGTATAGGAGCTTATAGTAACCTAGACCAGTGACATCATTACCCAGAACATCACCAGCCACGGTACTCCAGAGATCCGAGTAAACTTGTGCTGTCTTGCCTGAGATCCCCTCGCCATCGCAATGGCTGGACACCACCTTGGATCGGGATCCTTCCTAGGCGGAGGAGCATACTTAGGCTACAAGGAGGGGACCCGGCTGTGGCATATTATCAGCTGAGAAAAGCCTCTTAGAGATAGAACTCTATATTTGTCCTCAAGGACATTACCTAGGGACATCTAGCCACATAGGTAATATGGGACTTGGCCAAGGCCAATTTTCTTATACTAACTGGGGTTGTGAGACTATTTCCACTATAGATAATTATAAAAAACAGAATGATAATCATATTAGATTAATAAGAGCGCCAAGCCCCTCCACATGCTCTCTTGGGTCTTGCAACCCTATCATAATCACCATCAAAACTGGTAGCCCTGGGGGACAACACTATTGGCTCACGAGACAGACACGGGGTATCAGATTATATAAAACCGGGTATGATTCAGGATTATATTTTACTATACAGGTTAAGCACCCTCCCAGGAATGCTAACCCTATAGGACCCAACAAACCACTTCTAGTTCTGGGACTACCCCAAAGTCTTACACCTAAGAAAACTTCTGTTTCTAGAGCAACTCCAACTCCAGCTCTGGCCCCTCTAAGTAGTAGCCTAACAGCTATTAAACCCAGGCATTCGACCAGCCACAACCAGAACCAGAAGGAACATCAATAACTATGCTAACAACAATACACAAGATCTTAAATAAGACCACCCCAGGCATCGACAAGATTGCTGGTTGTGCTTAAACCCAAAACCTCTTTACTATGTTGAGGTAGGAACTCGCCTAAACTTAACTAAGCTCAGCAGACTGGAACTTCAAGTTGATTCACTAGCAGAAGTAGTCCTCCAAAATAGAAGAGGTTTAGATTTATTATTCTTCGAACAAGATGGATTATGTATGGCTCTAGGTGAAACCTGTTGCTTCTATGCCAATAACTCTGAAATAATTAGAGAAAGCTTACTACTAGCACAGAGAAATTTAGATGCCGGGGAAAAACAAAGACTAGAATCAGATAACTAGTTTCATAGGATGTTCAATTGGTCGCCATGGCTAACAACCCTCCTATCTGCTGTAGCTGGACCTTTAATCCTCCTCCTCCTCTTGTTAACTTTTGGCCCATGTTTCCTCAATTTCTTGTTTGCATATATAAGGAAAAGAATTAATTCTATTAAACTTTTAGTAATACAAAATAGAGGGTATAAGCAAATTCCACATAAAGAATCAAGGATTTGATTTTCTGCTAAGGCCAGTGGGGAATGTGCTGGTTGGAAAAATTACTGTTTGGCTATCGCCCATGGGAACATAACACTCTGCTTCTGTACCTCCCGCTTGCACAACCAACCTCTGGGTTGACAGTTAGTAAAAAGAAGAAAAATAGACTTGTGTGTTCAAACAGGATGAAGAATGGGGTTTAGGGCTTAAAAACCCTGTACCTGTACATTTTGGGGCTGCTTAATTTGGAGTCTGCATACCCCTGGCAGATCCAGCTGGCTGAATAAAGAGTGTGTTTCCTATAACTCACTGATTTCTCGTGTTCCATGTGTCTATCAGGGGCTGGCAGCTACAACAAAATGAGGATTTATCTTTCAAGATAAATCAAAAAACATGAATTTCAAGTAATGTTACAAGCTCGACAAACATACTTATAAAATGCTACTTGTCACAAATGCATGTTCCATAAATAGCCATTTCTGACTTTTATGATATGATTTTTGACCCACAGAGTTTAATGCCATGCTAGGATGAACAAAGGATAAATAAGATTTTGAATTATAAGCCTAAATCTTTTGAATAATAATCTTTTGTTTGACAGGCACTTATGATTATGCCCATCTCAATAATACTGAAACTGTAAGACGAATGTCCGAAGCTATTATTAAGTGTACTATAGTGATTTTTGTTATATGAAAAGATTATTTTAAATTTGTTGTAAACATTGAAAGTTAGAAATATGAACATACTAGTTTATACGGAAAAATAAATTACCTTTGTTTTAGAGTCCTTAAACTTGAAATGCAATTAAAAAGCTAATTAACCAATTTACTACAAATACAAAACAGACCAATGATTTTGATAATTATCAAGACAACTCAATTTTTGCTTTACTATGCAGAACTTATTTGCTGAACTGAATTGGAGATCATCAAAATTACAATATATTGCTTACTGAAACATGACAAAATCAGGCTATTATAACCAATTAATTGAACCTAATAAAGCTTTTAAATTATTTTTGTTTATTAGAATTTCTTTGAGGTTAATGATGTAATATTTCTTTTGGCTAAGATAAATAAGTAAAAATTTTAGAAGAAAATTAAATTTCTCTGGTTTGAAATAACCACAACTCCCTAAGAGCTAAATGATAAATTATTGTTCTGACCCAAATCTGAAAAAGAAAACCACCATAAATTAATTTATTTGTACTCTTTGTTAAACATTTTTTCAATGAACACTATTGTATGTTAAATAAGTTGAAAGTTCAAAGTGTCTGAGGTGATTTGATTATTTGCTACTGACAGGGAGATATATAGAAGAAATCATTGCTTTCTAAACCAGTTCAATTTTTTGAATAGGGCAGATATTGCGCCATCTGTCATACATTCTGTGGTGCCTGTGAATGTCATTTTATCTCTTTTCTCTAGAGAGAGCCCCTGCCTAGAGTCACCTAGGAAATGACCTGTTGCTCTTTGCTCTTTGACTTCCATTTGAAAAGGTGGTTATATTAGTAAAAATATTCCCTACTTTTCATTATATTTGAGAAGAAAGTTGTATGGGTAATTGAGATATCCCTAAGAGTAGTTAACTGGTTTCCTAGCATGGACTTTATAAAATGACATATACTTTAGCCAATTCATCCCAGTCTACATTCTGATTCTAAGACTAGCATTAGGTCTAAAACACAGATTTGTTAATATCCTGGAATTGCTGTGTACTCAAACAAATTCTTAGTATTTTAAACAGAAAGCAAACATATTGATAATAATTTATAATTTATATGTAAATGTGCGGTTAATTCAAACACAGCCATGGATATGGGAGGCAAAGAGGGCTGCTGGGTCAGCAGCTTCAAGGAGGACAATGAACAAAGTGTTGCTTGGGCTGTGCTTGCCCCCAAGGACACTTCCCATTGCTCCCATTGGCATTATCTGCTCTTTTGGTCATTCCCATGGACATTTTCTCCCTGCTCCACTGGAGAACACTGCCGGTCTGGTCCTCCCCAACACTAGCTAGGCAGCATGTTTGGCTCTCATCTGCTGGAAAAGACTCTTGTTCCTGGGATGAGGCAATGCCCCTCCCCTCTCTTCGCATATAAAACAATGCCTGCTTTTGGATGGCTGGCTGCCTGCCTTTTTCTGCAGCTCCAACTGACCAAATGCTGAAGTCTCCTTATATTGTGAGTAATAAGCAGCATGTCTCATTCTGCTGGTCCTCCTGGTGGTTTTTTTTTTTTTTTTAATATTCAAGGCCCAGGTGCAGATTTCTGGCCTGGAGCTCCTGCATTACAGTAGACTTGATTGTTCTCATTGACCTGACCAGCATATTCTTTAGAATTAGGGCCTGGGCTCAAACCTCAAGTCCGCTATTTCTTATCTCTGATATCTGTGTTAAATTATTCCCTGTAATGTGGTCTCAGCTTCTTCTGCTGCAACTGAGCATGATTGTATCTACCTCATAAAACAGTTGTAAAGTTTGGATAAAATGATGTATATAAAAAGAATAGCAAAGTGCATAGTATATAGTAAGAAAATGTTGTTATTCTCTCTATATAAGAAAACGTAGACAAAATTATTAAATGATTGCTTGTTGAATTATCTTATCAGTTCAATGATCTTTCCACAGTGAAATGATCCAAAATATACTCTGTGAAAGAGATTTCATTTTTTCACATCTTATAGAATGTAGCTACAAGAAATATTTAAAAATAAACTTCTTTTTCAAAGTTCATAGCCATCTTAAATGTATGTAACTTAGCTTTACATATATCAACCGAAACTTTTGCATCTTTTTTTCTCATCTCCTCTCTCAATGTATTATATCATTTCACTATTTTTTCAGTTACATTTTTTCAAAAGATAGGGCCAATTAGAGTCCAAATATAAATGTATACATCAATAAAAATAATAAAGATCAACAAGAATACAAAAAAAAACACATACCAAAATATCTTATAATACTGCATCTAAAATAATTTAAACAACAAATACTGTAAATCTCTCATCTCTGTGAAAGATACAGTAAGTCCTCAGATGACATCGTTGATAGGTTCTTGGAACTGTGGCAAAATGACATATAATAAAACCAGTTTTGCCAAGGACTAATTGATGTAAACAAGAGTTGAGTTCCTAAGGCACCTCATCAAAGTTATTTATTTATTTATTTATTTATTTACTTACTTACTTGCTTGCTTATGTTTGCACCAGTATTGCAATTGTCTTATATTATGATCATCTTATACAACTGTTGTTGGAACGGCAGTAAAATAACTATTTACTGGCATAAACACACTTTAACAAATGTATACCATATTTACAAGTTATCACATATTTTTTCTTCACTAATTTTATAGTTTTTATACTTCCTACAAAAAGAAATTCTATTGTGTTAAGCTATTTCATTGTCAGTTAAGTTTTTATTTTATTGTATTATTTTTCACTCTCATCACCAACCCCTCTCCCCTTTGGCAACCATTCGCTTGTTCTCTATGTCTATGTGTCTGTTTCTGTTTTGTTTTGTTGATTCATTTGTTTTGTTTTTTTAGATTCCACTTATAAGTGAAATCATACTGTGTTCGTTTTTCTCTGTATGACTTATTTCACTTAGCATAATAACCTCTAGGTCCATTCAGGTCGTCTCATATGATAAGATTTCATTATTTTTTATTGCTGAGTAACATTTCATTAAATATATATATATATATATGTATATATATATACATATATATATATATATATTTCATTGATTGATTTACGTATACATACCACATCTTCTTTATCTATTCATCTTTCAATGAACAGCTAGGTTGCTTCCATATCGAAGCTATAATAAAAGTAATGCTGCAATGAACATAGGGTGTGTATATCTTTTTGAATTAATGTTTTTGTTTTCTTCAGATAAATACCCAGAAGTGGAATTGCTGGGTCATATGGTAGCTCTATTTTTAATTTTTTGAAAACTCTCCACAATGTTTTCCATTGTGGCTGCACAAATTACAACCCTACCAACAGTGTGCAAGCGTTTTCTTTTCTTTATATCCTTGACAGCACTTTCTATTTGTTGACCTATTAATAATAGCCATCTGATAGGTGTGAGATGATAGTTCATTGTGGATTTAATTTTCACTTACTTGGTGACTATCAAGGTCGAGCATTTTTTTCATATGTCCATTGGCTATCTACATGTCTTCACTGAAAAAAAAATGTCTATTAAGGTCCTCTACCCATTTTTAATTGGTTTATTTATTTATTAATTTGTTTGTCTATTTATTTATTTATTTATTTATTGGTGTTAAGTTGTATAAACTCCTTATACATTTTGGATATTATCCCCTTATTAGACATATGATTTGCAAATATCTTCTTCCATTCAGTAGGTTGTCTTTTCATTTTGTTGATGGTTTCTTTCTCTGTGCAAAATTTTTTTAGTTTGATGTAGTCCCATTTGTTTATTTTTTCTTTTGTTTCCCTTGTCTGAGGAGATATATCAAAAACGATATTACTAAGACCAATGTTAAAAAAGTTTAATGCTTATATTTTCTTCCAGGAGTTTTATAGTTTCAGATCTTACATTGAAAATTTTAATCTATTTGAGCTCATTTTTGTATATTGTGTAAGAAAATGGTCCAATTTAATTTTTTGCATGTTTCTGTCCAGTTTTCCCAGAAACACT